AGGCTGAGGGGAGACCTTACTGCTCTCTACAACTACCTGACAGGAGGCTGTAGCGAGGTGTGGGTTGGTCTCTTCTCCCAAGTAACAAGCAATAGGACGAGAGGAAACGGCCTCAAGCTGCGCCAGGGGAGGTTTAGGTTGGATATTAGGAAAAACTATTTCACCGAAAGGGTTGTCAGGCATTGGAACAGGCTGCCCCAGGGAAGTGGCTGAGCCTCCATCCCTGGAGGCATTTAAAAGACGGGTAGATGTGGTGCTTAGGGACATGGTTTAGTGGTGAACTTGGCAGTGCTAGGTTAATGGTTGGACTCGATGATCTTAAGGGTCTTTTCCAACATTAATGATTCCATGATTCTGTGTTTAGAAGCTTTTTTCTTGGTTTGTTTTACATTTTAAAAATGCTTTTGTTTACCCTATTTACCTTCCAACATTGGATGCCAGGGATCTGTAGAAAAACCTAGACTAATTTAGCAGAGAAGGTCACATTTGGCTTGAAGGTCCCCTTTTTAGGTGTCTCTGGTGACAGGCTTTACGTTCAACTCGATAGCATCTCTGAATGTGGGTAGTGTAACGCAGATAGGGTTCGAATGCTGCAAGTGAGATGTGTGAAAAATTCAGGGGATGTTCTAGGCACCACTAGACAGAACTATATTGATTTAGGAGGAAATCCCAAGGAGGAAATAGTTCTTGTCAACTGATTACTTGAAGTTATGGTTATGCTACTCTTGCAGACGTCTATAAATTAAGCTGCCAACAGTTGGCATCTGCCAGTGTCAGAGTGCTATAGGTCATCCTTCGCATAGAATTTAGTCTGATGCCGGAGTGACTTACTTACCTGCCACGCAAATAGTGAGGGAGCATTTGGGAGTAAGGAGGAAGGTGGATTGTGCTTGGGAGATGTGTACATAGCCCCAACATGGAGAGGAGATTGGGGACATAGCGTGGGACAGAGAGAAGCAGTGCCCAGCCCCCTGGGAAGCACATATTGAGGGACTACATAGAGGATTCCCAGGCAAAAAGGGGTGCCCGCAAATGATATTGTGACTTGAATTTTCATGGGCTAAATGTTTTCATGTGCTGGTGGTTCCTTCCATACTGAAATTCTGGACTTCCTTGAATTCTGTTCCCAAGTTGCTATCTTTCCTCCCTCAATTCATGTAGAGATATTATCTACTAAAAGAGGGAGGAGGTCATGTTGATTTTGGGGGAGATTTTCCTACCTCGTAATTTGCCAGCAATGCAGCATCTGAGAATTTTAAATTGGAATTAGCTGACATTTTCTTACTGTCCCAGGAATTCAGGAGTTTTTGAAGAACAGCCCATCTGTGTGGGCTGAAGGTAGTGACCTTGAGGGATAATTGATTCTGTCTGGAAACCTCTATGCTGATCCCTAAAACCAGGAGGGAAGGTTTGACATTGCTTACAGTCAGTGGGTACTTTTTTTTTTCTCCGTCTTTCTTTTACTGGATAGTTTCAGCTCAGAGTAACTGAAGATGGATTGAAGTATAGTACCTAATCAGGAAGATGTGAAAGGATTTATTTTTCTTTACTTTACAGAAAAGGCCACAGATGGCTCCCTGCAGAGTGAAGACTGGACACTTAACATGGAAATCTGTGACATTATCAATGAGACAGAAGAAGGGTATGTGCTATTTCAGCAAACTTTGAAAGGTTCATGAACACAATCTTCATCCAGTCGTATTCAGCATGTGAGGAAGTGCAGTGAGTCTGGGGGCAGATGCTCATAGTTTGAATGCAGTTTGCATATGAGTTGCTTAGTTTTCCTGCTCCTTAGACATTTCAGAAAACTACTGTATGATGCAGCACTTCCTGTGGTCAGTCTCTGCTTGGGAGGGCTGGCATGAAAAATGTATTGCTGGAGATGGTACCGAGTTTGTACTTTTGGGGTTCTTGTTTTCAGCAGGCGTATCTCTTCGCAGTATCCGCAATGCTATTAGTTTCAGCCATTTGAATAGAGAGCTTCTCTGATACATCTACTTGAGCACCAGAAAAGCTGTGCTGCTTGCAGTTTACAGGAGCACTGATCACTGGCTTTATGCCCTGGGCCTTTTTCTGAGTGGCTGTCAATCTTCCCTGCTTGATCAACATCCTGCCTTTTTGGAGGCCTCGGGCATTGCTCTGGTCTTGACTTCTGTGATACCTTGTCTCCTCACACAATTCTGCATGAACCTAGTTTGGTTGTAGTCAAGTAACCTGAAGTTAACACACATGCTTATGTCCAGCTGGAAATGGTAAAGGATTCCTTTTCCCATAGTATATGGCATGTGAAATGCGTGTCTGAGCTGTCTTTTAAAAATGGTGTGTTTCTCCTTCAGTCCAAAGGATGCCATTCGAGCACTGAAGAAGAGGCTGAATGGAAACAAAAATTACAGAGAGGTCATGCTGGCACTAACGGTGAGTGGAGGCAGGCTGGAATGCCTCAAAAGGGCAGAACCCTTTTCTTTAGTCATTTTCCTTTTCCTGGCACTCTCTTGAATATACACACTATTTGCTTTAACAGCCACTGCTCTGCCCTTTTCTTCTCTCCAATTGCCTCCTCAATTCCTTGGGGAGAGTTGCTGGAAGCTTTGCATAGCGTTTTTCTGACTCAGTTGATTTCTGCTTTTTTCTGGGCTCTTGTTCATCCCAAGTACTGACTGAGGAAAGTTAAAGTAGCCCAAATGGGTCTGTGTACTCTGTGGGGCTTTCCCTTCTACTTTCATCTTCCTGTCTCCTACTGTTTCTCCACTCCAAGACAACAGCTGTGGGCATATCTGCAAGTGAGGATGATGAACTTGCCATATTTTCAGCTTCATGAGTAGCTGATGCACGATTTCCCTTGTGAATGGATCTCTGTAGGAGACTCAAATTAATTTATGCTGATCTAATTTCACTCAATAAAGTGTAAATTATATTCTGTGCATTTAGGCAGCACTGCTAAGGTGTGAGATAATTTGCCAGCAACCTTTCCTACTGATGACTTTAGCTAGGGGTTTCCTGGGTAATGCAGCACTCCTGAATACACGGTGCTGGGCAGGCTCTGCGCCGCAGCAGTCTGAGGAATGAGCAGCAGTAACTAGATCGAGTTATACTGCTATGGGTAGGTGATCTGTATGATTCTTTCACACAGCTCTTGTTGCATCTCCCTGATGAAGCGTGACTGTACTTTCTGTCTTCTTGCCATTTCCTATCCTGGATTGTCATTTTGACAGATTACCGAAGACCAAACCATGAGATTATCCATTGTGCAGGAAAGAGCGAAATTCATCAGGAATGAGTCCATGTCATCAGGGCTGATGAAAGTAGCTGAACTAGGAGAGTAATTACAGACTCCTCAGATACAGAGTCACAGTGGTTATTAGGCATGGCTGTAAGGAAAAGTGACGCATTGGATTTATCTCCATGCTAATCATGTTCTTCAGAGAAAAATCAACAGCTGTTCTTCCATGGCAGTTGAATGGCAAGTGGAAGGTGCCTCTAGCTAGGTTGCAGGGGGAAAATGTGTCAAAGTATAACCTGTCAGAGCATTCACAAGGGAGTGTTTTGAATGAGTGAAGATCATTCACCTGAATTCCCAACTCTAAAACATGGCTTATAGCTCAGAGCAAGCGGGTCCAGCTGTGTTCCAGGTACATAGAAAATGGTGGAGTGCCACAGCACGATAATATTTCACTGTGACAGGATGTCCTCTGTCTTACCTGCTCTTGATGTGATGCTGTGTGCTACTTAGCTGTTCAGCTGTGCCGTTTGGAAAGTTCTGCTTTGAAGAGGAAGAAACTTCATATTTCTTTACCTCGAAAACAGGCAAAGGTAGATCACAAAAGTGTCCAATACATTAATGGTGGGTGGAGTACATCTAAATATGTGTGTAGAGAAGGAAGCTTTTTGGTAAAATTGGAGAAGAAAAGAAGAATTAATAGCATAAGTGTAATTTCTCCTCTGTCTTCCCTCCCTCCCATCAGCAGTTTTAAAATAAAAAAAACAAAAACAAAAAAAAAACAAAATCAGAAACCAGCCACACAGGTGCAGTGTGTGTGATCAAGCTTTGCTCCAAAAATGAATGTTTTTTTGTGTGTGCGTAGGTGCTGGAGACCTGTGTGAAGAACTGTGGCCATCGCTTTCATGTCTTAGTGGCAAACCGTGACTTCATAGATGGTGTTCTGGTGAAAATCATCTCGCCCAAGAATAATCCCCCCACTATTGTACAGGATAAAGTACTAGCACTGATTCAGGTACACAGCTTGTCTCTGCTTCCATATGTTGCTGCCTGAAATAAGGACTGTCTGCTTCAGTGCTACGCATCGCTAAACATGCTGTCATCATTAAAAATGTGGCAAGTTTCTATATGTAAAAACAAACAGTATATCCAGATTGGCAGGGAAGAAGAGCAGACATGCATATGCATAGATATTTTATCCAGGGAGAAATGCCTGGATTCTAGTTAGAGGGGTATGACTCTAAAGCAAGAGAACTTAATAAAAGATAAATGGATGGCTTTGCAATTTAACAGTCAAATCTAGAAGCTACAGACCTGCTTCTGTGATGGGCTTGTCATCTGAGGCCAGGAAATTTTAGAGGATCATGCTTTTGCTGTCGGTTGCAGAACACTTACCTTCCTGTGTCTGTTTCCCTGACCGTGAAATGGAGCTGTTTCCCTCCATTAGAAAGCATTCTGAATTCCTTTTAAAGATGGTTATAGAAAAGTAAATGACCATATAGGAGTTAAAATGGTTTTGGTGTCTTTTCTCTGGTTATTATGCAGTAAAAGTGCACTGTCAGATCCTTGCCTGCAGTGGGGAAGTTCAGACGTAGGCCTGTCTGCCACTTCTCCTTCTGTGCAGCATAACAATAAACAGCCATGTTAATTCCACAAACCATTAGCAACACATGAGGAAACATTGGTGCCTGCCTGGAGGAAATCTGACAATTATAGGAAGCTTTATCACTAAGCTCCTACAGGCTATCGCATACACCAGAGACTAAAAGACACTGTGTAGTTAAAATGATGTAAACCTGCTGCAGTGTTTCTTGTGGGAAGGTATTTACAAACGCGCAGCATAGTTTTCCAAATATACTTCTGATTTTTGTGGCAAAGCATGCAGTTGAATTTCTACTGGTTTATTTGTTATTTGGATACACAGATAGGACATCGTTAGAGCATGACAATGTAAATAAGTGATTTCCGAACAGCAAATAGGCTGGATGGGGAAATTCAGTGGGCATTGCATTGGGGTCTGTGGGGTCCCTTTATTTCTGGTGTGTGATCTCAAGGCTTTCTAAAAAAATTGCACAAAATCAATGAAATTATTAAAAGCAATTCTTGTGCATCTGACTGAGCCCTTGGGTGTCTGCCTGCTTTGGTGGGAGAGCTAATGCATGCGGTGACCAGGAGACGAGGTTAAATACTGTCCCATAAAGAGAAACTGTGTGTGTTTCCATGTTGTTTGCTCTGCTACGGTGTTTTAGAGGATGTTGTTTATGCTGGGTCCTGGATTTAAGTGGATTCCCAGTCATCAATACAACTAAGATGGAAGTGTTTGTAACATAACCAAAAAGCCGCAGTCATTGCCTCAGTATATTAAACAGAGCTTTATCTGAGTAGACTTAGTGCAGTAGAGCTAAAAGCCTCACTCTGGGTACTAAATGCCTTTTGGTATAAAAAGCCTGACAATTATGAAAGTTGCCTGTGGGTGGGTTCTGTTAGTGTGTCTTTAGCTGGAGGTGGCAGGGGACTTTGTTTTCCAGATTGCCTGACAAGATTGGAAGAGTGATTGCAGTCGCTCATCTCAGCTGCCCTATTGACATGCACACCCAAAATATCCCGTACGTCATGGCCACTTTACTCAGCCTAGACTTTGCTCTTTAGAGCTCCCTGCAGTTGGAGCTAACTCCATTCCAGGGAGCTGATCTCTTCTCAGCTCTGCTCCACTAACATTACATTTATCCCCTTCTGTAGGCTTTTTACAATTTATTATCAGGGAATTAATAAGAACAGAAATGAGAGGATTAATAGCAATTGGAAGCATGGAAAAAAGCTGTACAAACAGCATATGTCTTCAACCATACAGCTCTTGTACTCCTGGGCTTTTCCGTAGCAAAGGTAGATAAAGCTGCCATCCAGTTTCTTATCTGGAGACTTGACTGTTTTGAGATGTTGGGCATCTTGTGTCTCACTTTCTTAACCTGTTTCCCAGTGTACATGAATTAGCATGTATTACATATTGCTTATCCTTCCTTCTTCACCTTGCTAAGAGGCCTTGGTAGTATTCCTTATTCTGTGCCTCTGGTAAAAGCTTGCGTATCACCTCAGAGTTCATACCACTTTGCTGCCCAGTAGCTGAGCACTGTCATAAAAGATGAATCATGGGAGACTTTTAGTAGCACAGCAAATTCTTTTGAAGGTACATGTGTTAAAAAGCGTTTGACACTGGAAAAATTGTCTTGTGATGGTCACTGATTTAGGGACCAGATTTGCAATAGTATTTAATTAACCTGTTTGGGCACGCAGAGGTGCCAAGTGGGATTTATGCAGCAGCATCCTTAAATATCTACCTTTCATAACCTTGCCCAAAGTCTTAAAAGATCTGAATTCAATCTCACCTCTGTCATACGCTTGTTTGGACAATGGGCAGGTCTCCTAAGCTCTCTGTGTAGCTCCTTATCTGTAAAGTACAGCTAATATTACTGTTGCCTAGTTGAAGTGTAAGCTGCCTAGGACAGGGATTGTCTTACAATGTGTGTAGACAGCACTTAGGACAATAGTGCCCGGTCCTGCTTGTGACCTCTGGGAGACACACTAATGTAGATAATGCTCCCAGCTCAGGTGAAGAAGAATACAAGTGTCTCCTTTCTCCAGGGAAGAGAGTTGCAGAAGAGAGAATATATTAAAAAGGTAGAGTGCAAATGAAGTGAGTTCACTACAACAGAATCTGTAGGAAGTCCATGAAAGGGAGGATGCATTAGTACAACCTCCTGGGCAAACAAGCCTCATTAAAAGTTGGGGGCAGCAACGCAGCATACTTTTGCCTCAAAGTTTCTTTTGAGTGATTATTAAATAGAGCATCCCTTGCCTAACATTTTTCGCTCTTACTTGCAAATAGAGTTGAAGTGGGGAACACCATTATGTAGAAGCATCATTCAGATGACTTCTTATGTAAATTGAAAATGAAGAGAAAGTGCAAGGGTAGAGTTACTTGTACAGTCAATATCTCCGTCAGAATTAGGGAAGGTTTGGAAGGTCAGTTCCAAGGAAACAGAATGGCTCTTTGCAGTTGGAGCTGTTTTCTCTGGCTCAAGTAGGGCTGTTTGGACTTGCACTGCATCAGAACAGTTGATGCAGTTAATTTACTCTTAACAAAGCTGAGAAGCAAACCTAGAATTGTTAGCTTGCAGCTGATAATGGATTGTCTCCTGGGCACGTAGGGTAGGAAATGGTCTTTCTGAGAACTGAAGAGAATAGGAATGTAAGTTAAATATTATTTCTTATCTTGGTTTGCTATCTTTGATTTCTCTCCTCTCAAATATAAAAAGTGGTTAAAAACAGCTTTTAAAATAAAAATAGTCAAAGAACTAGTGTAAAAGTGATGACTAAATGAATTAAGTTCAGAGCCCACACAGAGCTCTCTCAGTAGTTCTGGATCCAGCACACTGATACTCTGCCTCACATATGTGGGGGCTTGGGGAATGCTTCGTTTCTAACTGAGTCATAATATTTAATTTTTTCCTTCCCCTAAATTTTTAATACTTGGCTAATTTCCAGCAAAAGTGAAAGGGGGTAGAGGGTTTCTAGGTATTATGCTCCTAGCAGCTTCATGAGTACAGGAGGCTGGCTAGCAAAGAGAAACACTTAGTACTCCCACTGAAGGAAAAGCTCAAATGTGAATTGAAGTCTTTTTAGACAGGAGAGAATTCATGCGGGAGAGATATTACGAGTGTTCTGGCTGTGGGAAATTCTCCCTTTAAACTTGTTCTTTCTGACACACTGGGGTGTCTAAGTGTTGGATATGCTCTGTAAGAACCCAGGCTTCATCAGTTCTGCTGCTCATGGGACTGCATGTTTCACAATATAAGAACCTCAGAAACTACCTTTTTTATTTAAGTTTGGTCCAAATAAAATACTGAAGAAAACTTGACAGCTGTGTTTTTTCTTTGGCAATAAATGAGGGTGTTTCACAAAGTAAATTGAGATTACCTAAGATTATTGCATGACTTCATGAATTTTGCTTAGATCGATTTAGTCTTTCACACAGACTTTTTCTAGTGGGTCATTGGCCATAGAATACGCAAGAAAAGATCAGCATGCAATCACTGCAAAGTAGAGGAGATTGGAAGAGGCTTTCATTTGCATTTACAGATTTTGATGATGTCGGGGGCTAGACATAGCTACTGTGCACTGGGGTCCTGTCTATTTTATATTTGAATAAAATGTGTACGTGACTGTCTTAATAATATTTGTAGGATCTTTTAGACCAGGTCTAATGATTACAGCTTCCCTTTGAAGCTGAAATACATGAAAGCTTTTGTAGTCAGTATCTGAGGTCATGGTGGAGCTGGAACTTCATTTGGAAGGTTTATGGATAATCCCTCATGTTTTCCAGGCTTGGGCTGATGCCTTTCGAAGTAGCCCTGATTTAACTGGAGTAGTGCATATTTATGAAGAACTCAAGAGGAAAGGCATAGAGTTTCCCATGGCAGATCTTGATGCTCTGTCTCCAATACACACACCACAGAGGGTAAGCTGCAGCATTGCCATTCCAGGGGTGTTTTCTCAAAGTGTCTAAATAGTTGGGTAACTACTCTTCTTTCCCCTCCTGTTGCTCTGAATTTGGTTCATTTTCTCACTCCTAGAAGGGCTTTTTTAATAGTGAAAGAGCATGTAGGAGAAGCTAATGGAATCTCCTCCCTTGAGTCAAACATCAATCTGAGAAGAGAGTTTGGAGGAGGTTTGTACGCTTGTCTTGTGCCACAAAACCATCAGACGAATGCAACTAATTTGCTCAGAGAGAGTCCAGCAGGATATATGATTGAGATTTACTTCTTCTTCTCAAACGTGTAGCTGTTTCTGTTGGTGATAACCCTGAACCAAGGCCTGCCTGTCTTTCAAAGGTATACGGAGTCTGAATCTCTCACTGATCCCATGGTAACATGAGGTCTTTACACCTTTGAAAAGTTAGGTCTGTAAAGTGGACAGAACTGCTGCTAGGAAGTAACTTAATGGTCACAGGTGTTTTGGTTATTCACTCTGAAAACTGAAGTTAACGAATCTTTGAAGTGGTAAATGCAAGTGATCAAGGACTGAAAGATTACAATTCATGTGCCAAGATTAATTAAATCCAATATCTATGTATCACATTGTTTTTTGTAAGCCTGCAACTTGATTCCTAGGTTAAAATAATTTATAGTTAATTTATCTTTGGCTCTTGTTTTTATTTTGCTTCTCACCTTTCTTGTAAATTGGCTTAAATGCATGTGGGTTGGGTTAGAAGATATGGGCATGCATTTTTGTTGCAGCTGTCTGTTTATGGGCTGGCCTGCCAGTCTGTTCTCGTAACTACACTGACCTTTTCCACAAGGTGCAATTATGTTCTATATTTGAATGTATTTGGCCTGAGGTTGCTGACAAAGCAAGTGCTGTCACAATTCAGCTTTTGAATTCCTGTCTTTCTGATGTGGCAGAGCGTTCCTGAAGTTGATCCTGCAGCAAATATGCACAATTCACAGTCTCAGCAAAGGATGAGCACCAGTTCTTATTCTTCATCTTCTCCAACGGCGTATTCTGCTCCTCAGGCCCCAGCTCTGAATGTGACTGGTCCCATCACTGCTAATTCTGAACAGGTATTGGGATGATGATTCTTTTCAGTGAGACTCTTTCAGCAGATCAAATTAGAAACCAATTTGCAGAGGAACTTTCATTTAACTCTTTTTACTTTGATTGCCTCCTAGGTCTGGTTCTACTTAGTAACCTTTCCTCCTATTATACTGTAAAATCTAGGCTTTAGATTTGTATGTATGGCCTCCTAATGGCAGCAGTTACGAAACCTCACAATCTGATATACCAGTCCACTCAGCACTTGTGCAGTAGGTTAGCAGTTATACTCATTAGCCCCCCTCCTTTAAAGGCACAGAATGTTTTGCAGATGCAGGAATTCTTTCTAACAGGGAATTAAGTCTGCATCCGTAAGACCCTTGCAAATGCCCTAATATAGGATCTTCTTTTTGTTCTGAAAAAATAACAACTTCAGAGCCAAAGATCCTGCTCAAAAGTTGTACATCTTTCCCCACATCTGAATGAGGCACATGAGGTGTACTGCAGCCGAGGTCTGTTTTTTAGCTGCTGTTTTCAATTGTTTGCCTTTCATACAAGCATAGCACATGTGGGTTTGTGATGGTAGTGAGTGGTTCTACAAAGTTCTTTCCTTTTTCTGTGGCTTTTCTAAAATTCGCTCCTGGGTAAACTTTTTATCTTTAAATTTTTTTTTCCTGCTAGAATGTCTGGAGCCTCAGATATCAAGTCAGACAGAACCAGAGGTATCACAAAGTCAGTTCTTGAAAATTATCTGCTTAAACCAAAAGATTATGCAGTATTTTTCTGTCTTTTTACCCCAATTTAGATTGCCCGGCTGCGCAGTGAACTGGATATTGTTCGTGGGAATACAAAAGTGATGTCTGAAATGCTGACAGAAATGGTACCTGGACAAGAGGATTCCTCAGACCTTGAGTTACTCCAGGTAACAGTTTCCTAGCAAATGTGATTCTGATCCTTTTTGTGCTTGAGTTTTTCGGGGGGGGTGGTGGTGGTTTTTGTTGTAGTTCAATTCACTGCCTTGGTTTGTTTGTTTTACAAAATTAATTTGGACTGCGCTTGACCCTGGTTAGTCTCATCACTTGATGTTCTTCATTTGTTAAAGCTTCCAGTGACAAGGATTTCCTAACTTCCCTTTAAACTTGTTCCAGTGCTTTCTTCTCTATGTAGCTAGAAATTTTTCCCAATGTTGAATATAAGGTCTCCTTTACCACAAAGCAGCTTAAAATTGTGATAGGCTCTGTAAGCCCTGAGCATTTCTGCTGCTTTTACATCCTCTATCATCACTCGTACAGTGGCAAAACATTCCTGGTCACTATGCAAACACTCCATGTTTCCATCTGGGCTAAATATTGCCAAGGGTCTGTGGATTTTCTGCCACTCAAAATCATATATATGAACTAACTGTCTTTCCAGAAGATGTGCTATAGCTTCTCCCGAAGGTAGTGGCTTATGGCAGGCGCTCAGGCGAAGTTTCATGCTGTCCAGAGGGTCAGACTGGGTAATCAGAAGTGGTTTTTTTTGCTGGAAAGTCTCAATCCAGTGCAGCATTTATTATCTCAAAAGGGAAAACAGTTTTAGTTGGGCTCATGTCTCAGGCTTCATACCTGTTTCCCCAGGCCAGTGGTAGCGGGGTGCCCTTTTGCCAGAGAAAAGTAATACAGTACCACATGCAACACAATGAGGAATACTGTGATCTCGCATTCCAGCTGCTGCCCTTAACATGGTATTTGCCTTTCCATAGCTTCAGAAATAGGCTTCTGTTTTGATCTTCCAGCAGGGAGGATGGGCTCCCACAGCAGTACATTTGGAGGAAGGCAGGGAATTGCTCTCTGTGATACATCAGAGTTTGAAATCCATCCAAAAACTAGTCTCTCCCATGCAGCGGTATTGTGTGTTTGTCTCAGCGCCATCATGGCAGCTGATGAGAGGCTTTGCAATAAAGAGCCTTTCAGTTACTGCCCATTTGGGTCGGACTGCTCAAAACAAAAGAAGCTTCCAGGAAACCACGGCAGACCAAACCAGCGCAGAACAGTTTGCTTACATTCAGAAACAACTACTACCATCTTGACAGCGTAACCTTACAGCATAGCTTTAAGGTGAAAGAACTTGATCATAAAATGGAGTGACAGCAGCGATTCTTTATTCCAACTGGTTGCCTTCTTTGACTGATGCATCCTAAATCTGAATCACAGAGCTGGGAGAACCCGGTTTTGATCACAAAGAATGGTTAGTCTTTTGAAAGCTGTGAGCCCGGTGCTGCATGCAAGGACTCCTTGCTTTGAGGTTTATATAGCCCTCCTCCTTAAATAATTCCTGACATTTTCTCCAACAATCAAATGTAAACAGCTTGCTAGAGAGCCAGCTCTGAGCAGAATAGATAGGTACTGTCAGCCCTCTTGGAAAGGCAGCAAACAAACCTCTGAAATGTCACAATCTGCTTCTAAAGTGATGGGATCAAAACTGACATTGGAGAACACATTCCTCAAGCTGTTAAAGCAGCTGGATTGCACTAGGTGAAATTTATCCAGAGCTTAGGATGTCAGACCAAGCAAGGAAAACAAACACATTTTTGCTTTCATCCCGAAGGTTGTGTACCAACAAGTCATCCTTGTTTAGTGCTGAATTTTTGCTGTGAAGTGGAGGTGGGGGCGGGGTGGTAGATGACAGAGGGACATGCTTTAGTTGAAATGTCAGTGCTTATTGAAGTAAAACCGTGGGCCTAATCAGTGGCGCCATGCCATATGTCACGTTTCTTCTCGTAGTTCCTCCTCAACATACCAGTTTTGACCTTTGGTCTTGAGTCCTTTCAGGAGTAAAGAATTCTGCTAAGTAGTTGGTGATGGAAGAGATGTCCTGGAAGCATGAGAACTCCTGGTTTAGGCAAACTCAAACCTAGATTTCTTGGCATGAGAGACTTGTAAAATAAATGCCTTTACTTTAATTTCTTTAAAATTTCCTTTTGAAACTCCCCACTGCCTTTTTGCAGTCTCTTGTCTGCGGACTTGCTCAGTTGAAGGGAATGTTTCTGTGTATAGTTCAATACTGAAGTGTGTGTGGAGTGCTCATCTTTTCATGGTCCTGCTCCTTGTTTTGTGTTCACACTCATGTTGTCAGTAGTTGGTAAGTTCTGTCCCCCAACCCTTCTCTTCCTGCTGTGTAGCGCACACTTAAACTTGTGGTAGCCATGATGAACTCTCTTCCCCACTTGTTCCACCACATGGATCTTTTCGTTTTTAAGGATGATATTGCCAAAAAGAGCAGATTGAATTTTCCTTGAAAGCTCTCTTCTGGAAAGCTGTTGTATTAACATGTTTTATTCTTAAAACAGATCACTAAAATACAGATATTTATTTTCTGAAGTGCTCAGAGTTAAAGAAGAATCAGGATGTTGAATTGTAAATAGGCTCTCAAGGTTTTATGCCATCGTCTCTTGAAGGGCATGTTTGATTAGATGTGCTTTTGGGTGACATTTAATCATGCAAAGATAGACTTGTCTTAGTGTTTCTCAGCTGGGGGATATGTTTGGCTGTGAACAGAGCTCAACTAAATCTACTTATTGCTAGCCGCTTATCAGAATGTGTGTGCACAATGCATTCCTCCTAGGAACTGAACCGAACCTGTAGAGCTATGCAGCAGAGAATTGTGGAGCTTATCTCACGAGTGTCCAATGAAGAAGTCACAGAGGAACTGCTGCATGTGAATGATGATTTAAATAACGTCTTCCTCAGATACGAAAGGTGGGGCATCTTTTCCATTGACTATTTACATTCATTCTGGGTTTTCACTTAAGTGTAAAATAGCTCAGCTGACAAGAGTTGGCCATCTGGGCCAATGGTCCAACGTAACAAAATGTAGAGAAGCAAATCACAGAACGCATTTAAAAAGTCTTTTTTGTGGTCTTCTATGGTAACATTCCTGTTTCAGTTCTTTAATACTGTGATTTATTTTTTTTTTTTGTCCTAGCCATTGAATTTTTGTGGGGCATATCCGTAAAATGCAGGGCAACTTTGTGCAAAACTCTCTCAGCTAGCAGAGACTTGAGTCTGCAAGTCCCTGTTGTGCAGTGCTGTACAGATGCAGGGACTTGGGACCGAAAATAGCACAGCCACAGTCACTAGTTCCACTTGCTAGCCTGGGCTCTGCACAAATGCTTGTGCTACTTCCTGGCTTAGGGAGGCTCCCGTGAGCTCTCTCTGTCTTCTGATCCCTGGGCTTTCTAGTTCCAGTACTGGTGCAAGGGGAGCTGCCTGAGGTGGGCGTGACCTTCGTGCATGTAAGGGCTTTTTTTTTAAGTAACACTTAAAATCTTGAAAAAAAGCCTTGTCTCGTGCAGAGCTGAGGTTCTGAAGAGTTGGTCTGCGGGAATCGTCCCCAGGGGTGGGACTTGGGTCATAGGACTTTCGACATGTTAGACAAAGGCGCTGTCAGCCACATCTGCTGCAGTAGGTGACACGTGATACAGCAGTCTTGGGAAAGTTTAATCTTCCCCTTAATGACAGGCCTGGGGAGTGAGGCACTAAAGAGTACCCTTTGTTCCTTGCTCTTAGCACACGTCTTTGTTTCTCAAGCCTTTAAAATATATTAGACTCTAGATCTGTGAATCTGTGCTGTCACGGCAAAGGCTGGAAAGAAGACTCAGTGGCCTCGATTTTGTCTTTGATTTACTCGTTCAGAGGAGATTGGGGCAAACTTTGAAACAAATGCTGGCTTCTCATGTGAAATGGAATGTTTCATGCACGAACACGATTCTACAAGTGGCAGAGTGTAACTGTCACTAAGGCTTAGTCTGGTCACCCTTAATATTTTTTCTATTTTCCTCCATCTGCGACTTTGCTGACTGGGGCTAATGTATTTGTAGTCATTATACACTGAAAGGTGAGCTGAGTGATGTTAGCAAGCTATTTGTGGTAGAATAGCTGCACTGGTCTGAGCGTTTCAATAAATTCCAGTCCTCCTCTGCTATTCCAAGAGCTCCACATTCATCATGCTGATTTCTAGTATGGGCACTGAGCTCTGTCAGTGACTCAAGCAGGAGCTCTGGCCTTCGCTGTGAAGCTTTGGATGTGAACGAATGTGTGGTTCATAAGCCTTTTGGGTGAGAAATATGAGGTGGGAGGTGTCTCAGGTTTCCAGCTAAGGGAGCTGGATTTCCAGTAATAGTAGACACCCACAGTTTCCTAAAATTGAAATTTGGGGCTGAATTTGTTTTTGCTGCCTTTTAAGTCTGCATTTTCCTCTGTTACATTAAGAAAACATTTTCGTTTCCTTGAGATTCTCTGTTGTATTTTGTCCGTCTGGGAGAAAACCCACAGGGCTATATGAATATTATGGGTTTTTTACTAAATAGAGAGATTACATGTGAAACTACTTCTAAAGGAGGAAAAACTCTTAACTTCAGGGAAATCATGATGCTTTTCCTGGTAAGGAAGAAGACCTGACTGGCCTCAGACAGGCCTTGGGAGGAGGTAGTTCCCCCTGCTTTTTTTGAGTTCATGAAGGCTGGATTTATGTTTGCGGCCCCAGATGCACAGCTGATTGGGGAGGGAGTAGAGAAGAGACCAGATCTTGACTAGCCAGACTTCCTCCCCTAAGAAGTATGAGGATTTTTATCCAACATCATTACTTTTCAGTCTTGGAAAGTACCAACCTATTTGAACATAGGCTCTGATGATCCTTGAGCTGACCCAGAATGCTTTAAAAAATGAATTTGCTAAGCATTGTTTTCTCTTGCCATGTGCTGCCTGGGTAGAGCTGTGCTAGCATGCATATGGCTTCTAATTTGCATGTATTGCAGCAAGAGGGAGCTGTTAAGTGGGAGTAAGACTTGCTGCGGTACTCTCAGCTTATTTAGCTGGGAGCATCAATTTTACTGCAGTTCCTCCTGTCCCTTGGCTAACAGAATAGTCTATCATGAAGCACTTAATGAAAAAAAAAAACACAAAGACAAATCCTACAGTGTTTTTCAGGCATGTGTGTGCTGCAAGATCAGATTAGTCAACTTAATATCCACATTTGCCAAGAATGCAACTTCTGTAACTATCCTGCCTTTGTCCTCACTTGGAGTTAAAGCTTTCAGAGTTCCCTCTTGAACCAACAAAAACTAAGTTCAGTGGCAAGCCTGCCATGGCTTTGTTATAAACTTGTGTTTTTCATTGTTTATTGATAGTGGCTTTGATAGTTCATGTTGGTTTTTTGTTTGTTTGTTTTCTAAACAGATTTGAACGATACAGATCAGGACGTTCAGCACAAAATGCCAGCAATGGAGTAAGTACCTAACTCCATTTATTGTATCAGCAGCTGCACCATACCAGCCCTACTGATACCACTAGTATCGGACTTCTTATCTGTCCAGCCCTGTGTCCTGCCTGTAGTGGCTAATAGCAGATACTAGGAAAAGAGTGTAAGAATGTGGCAAACCTCAAGTGACAACTTTTAGCTCAGGAAGACACTACACTAAAACATCTCTGTGTTTACAATCCTTGATGGATTTTCTTTCCTCTGTTAACTTTTTTGATTGCTTTTGAGTCCATGCAGACTTTAGACATTCACAATGTCCTTAAGCAGTGAGTTCCACAGTTTCATTACACATTTTTATGTATTTATGTGGGTGTGTATATATAATAAATATTTTGTTTACATTTGAACAGGTCGCTTAATGATTTTTATTTGATTCGCCTAATTCTTCTTCACTGTGTCTTACAATACAACTGTCCAGATTAATTTTCTTCATGACACTCATAATTTTAGGAATGTCTCTCATCTCCTTTTTCAGGATCTCCTTTCCAAGCTTAAGAGTTACAGTTCTAATTATTCTTTCAATGAAAACTATTTTATAGTTGTTTTATAGTGTTCAAGATCTGAGTTCATGATTAATTCATATGTGGCACTATTACATTTTCTGTTTCGCTTTCTTCTAACAATTTCAACTATTTACTTTTCCTGTTTGAGTTCCACTTCTACTGTAGTGTGATGCAAACTTCAGCACAGGCTCTGCATTGTAACTTTAGTCACAACAAATAAGTTTTGTTTCTGGAAACAGTTTATACGTAATGTGGAAGATGTTAGCAAATTCAGTTTGACTTAGATCTGATGTTGGTCCAGTGCTAAAAGAGGTGGAGAAGACAGACACATTAGCTAAATCTGAAGAGATGCAAATGACCTCCAGGAGAGTTCCCTGCTGTGCTGAGCAGTCAAACTTGAGGTTTTTTTGCTGTCTGACCCTTTTTATTCTGCACTCATCACCATAGTATCCAAGTGACTGGTCCATTTCACAGTGTGAAAGAGAGATCTTTTTAGAAAGCACCCATTATTTTCTGGTGTTTAATGTTGCACTGCAAGAAGAAATCTTTGGCATGTGTAACTTGCTGTGCTTTTTGTGTCCCAACAGGTACTGAATGAGGTGACAGAAGATAACTTAATAGATTTGGGTCCTGGCTCTCCAGCCGTAGTGAGCCCAATGGTTGGAAGCTCAGCACCCCCGTCTTCACTTTCTTCACAGCTTGCAGGGCTTGGTGAGTACCTGATCTAAATAGTGCTGATGAACGTGAGGCTGCAATGCATGGACTTTTTCAAGCCTGACCAGTCTGTGTGTCTTGAACAGTATGTGGGGAATGCTAGGCAACCCAGGTGTGTGAGTATGGGAGCAAGTCTGAGGTCCCTGTGACCGACCTGGACACCTAGTACAAGCTCTTATCGCAGTGGGCTGTTGGGATTTATGAGGAACCATTTTCCTCTTTCACTTGTGGGTCAGGGAGTTTCTGCTCCCTTTGGCTCTCAGCTACCTGATTAATGTTGCCATGTAGCCTTCAGAAGGTTTGGGTACGTGGCTTACAGGATTAGGAAGGCTTTCCTACTCCCCTTCACTGGAGTGATCTGTAATTGGGAGCCAGCCTGGCACAAACAGAGGGATTTGTTAACCAAAGGGGAGAGTGAAGGAAAAGATGTGGGTTCTCGTTCATGGTAAAACTTGTAGTACTGCTTTGATTTCTGCATAGGTATAGCTCTTCGTGAAATCAGTCTGGTGAATGTTCTTGATTCCCCTTCTACAAATCATACTTGAAATCTTTGGATGAAAGGTTTTATGAAACTGTCAGGTGTTCTACATTAAATCAAACCAAAGATTGCTGGATATGATCATTTGATTTGACTGAAGGTTCTCCACCTCTTCCAGCACTGCACCAATATCATATCACTTGATCTGAAACTATTGATTTCACAGTCAGTAGCTGAGTGACAACATTGTAGAGAAGACAAGTATCCATGCCGCAAATTTTGGACCATGTTAGTGAATAGTAAATGTCTCGGGATGAGATTGGCAGCAGGTGCACACCAATTCCCAAATGCTGGCTTCTTGATGACGAATACTTACAGTGTGGTGCTTCCAGGAGGAATAAGACAATCTCTACATTTGTACTTTAAGAAAATCTGTGATTAGCAGCCTCCAGCCTCTTCTGGACAGAATTGTGCTCAGTGCTAGAACTGTTAACTAGATAACATCTGTAGCTATCCTGTATTGTTAATGAATTCCTCTGTAACCTACACAGTCATGGCAGTGGTGCTTGCATATGGTTTGCTACTTCACTGGTTTGCTTTTTTTGCCTCTGGTTGCAGACTTGGGTACAAACAGCGTCAGTGGCACACTCAGCTCTCTACAACACTGTAATCCTCGTGATGACTTCGACATGTTTGCACAGACAAGAGGCAGTTCCTTGGCAGAGCAGCGAAAGAAGTATGTTGGAGTTTGTCTTTAGTTCTGTTTGAGTCATGGCATTGCTCTTTTCTAAGGGCATAAATCTGAAACTTCTTGACTTCATTCCAGACTAAAAAAGTAGTTTTGGTGTATGTTTTTGTGCTTTTAATCCAAGCCCTATCCTGTTGGTCATTATTAGTATGAGCCAATGGAGAAGTTCCTGCTGCTGGGCAGAGCAGACTGGCTGAGTAATATTATTTGACTGTCTTAGTTAATGAGCTCACTGGAAACTTGGAAATAAACTTGCCTTTACTTCTGCAGATGCATCCTCTCATAAAGGCTTGTCATCCCATCCACCCGGCCAGTCCTTGAGATACAGGAGCATAAGGGTCCTTCACCTGAAGGTCATGGATATACTTTGGTGACTGAATTACTGTCATCAAGGGCTTGGAAACAGAATTACTATCCACTTAAACTCTCCCTTTGGCCCAGCAGTCAGACTCACAGGCTGTCAAGGCAGTGTAGCTTGCCTGGCTCCCATGCTCTCTCTAATTTGTTTATATGCGTAGGGCTTGCATCTCTATTGCTGCAAATCTGGCACTTTCAAGGGCATTTAACAGGTCCAATTATTTTAATGTAAAATAAATCTATGCAATTACTAAGAAATCCTTTGATCCCTGTCAAGTGAGATTCAGTAAAAGAGACACTCAGGTATTTTTCTTTCATATTTTATTTCTTGCCTTCTGGTTTCAGATTCTAGAGGATATAGTGGCTACCAGCAGTCAGAACATCATCAATATCTTGTCTCAAACTAAGAAATGTTGTTAAATAGTTTAACTGAGACCTTAGCAGATTATCAAAACTTACCAGCTCTGTAAAACTTGAGCCAGCAAATTTATTAGGATCTTTTATTTGCAGTCATCAATACAGCTATTGGTACTGCCTCAGCTGTAATATCAGTGTTGAGAAGATGTGCTCTACTGTAAAGGTGTATGTTACCACTGGAGATTTCAGGCTGAGCGCCCTAATGTATGGTCAGAAAGGAGATGCATTGCAGAGAGATCTAATGGAGGTCCCTCTGTCTCTTGTGCTAAATGAAGCATGAAACCAGTCTTCCCACACTGCACCTCTATCTCCTTCTGCGAGCTAATGGGACAAGGCGCACACATCAGTCCATGATTTCAGAAGGGAGGATTGCTATATCTTCCTTGGATTGTACGCTGTAGAAATGGAGCAGCAGTAAAGATGTGTCACTTGCTGTGGTGTGTAGGTGAGAGCCTCTGGGTGCTGTGCTCAGAGCTTGGGAGAAGCCAGCACGCTGGAGGGGAAAGCGCTCCTCCTGCTCAGACACCTGGCTGCTCCCAGGGGCTGATTTATGGCCAGGTGTTGGCATCTGCTTCAGTTCATGGTTCACCACTGTGCTCTGAGAAATGATGCTATTGCCTCTGTCACCTGACTGCTACATGTCCGTTTTGCATAGCAATTTAAGAAGCTTTTTAAAAATCCAACCTCTGTAAATAGTGCATTTCTTTGTATGCTTCACTGTAGTTGCTTAGTTGTGTTTCATCTGTCTCTGAGTCTTCCTCTGCCTCCCTGCACGCACGTATCAAGTTCAGGCTTCCAAATGTCATCTTCAAAGCTTTGCAAAACGCAATCTGTAATCAGGCCTCTTTTCATAGTCCCCTGCTAGCTCTTGGACATGCTTATGGTGCCTCGTAACCTATTTGCCTACCTTTCATAATGCCAGTCTTATTCTTTTTGCTTCAATATGCTTACTGAAACTGATGGATGGCCTTTATACAGAGAACACTCCTCTTCTTGGAATACACTTAGTATACTTGAAGTCTTGTTACGAAAAAGAATGTGCTCTCTGATTTCCAGCGGAGTAAATCAGAGTAGCAAGTGCGTTCTGCATGGGTGACTGCTGGACTTCCTTCTAGTTCTGTGGTTTGTTCCTTTCTTTCAGCGTGACGTATGAGGATCCACAGGCTGTCAAAGGACTAGCGTCTGCCCTGGATGTTCGAAAACAGAACACAGGAGGGGTAGGTCATTGGTCTGTGTTTTGTTATCTGAAGCTGTGCATAAAATCCAAGCTGTAGGCAGCTGCTTTGACCGAGACTTCTCATTCTGTATTCCAGCGACGTGCTAGTACTGGCTATTTTGAAATTGATACCTAGGAGCAAGTACTTGCTCAGTAATGATCTCTAAAGAGCTGCTACTTAGCACACCGGCCTAAAAGACTTCAAAATCATAGTGGGTAAATTCTGTTGTGTTCTTGCAGCTTGCCTGGGGGGTCTAGCTCTTTGACTGGAATCACTGCTGAAAAGAATAAGTAGGGAGCATCCTGTGAACACTGGCGTGCATTTTTTTGGTTCAGTTTTGCTTATGAAAGTTGTTGGCAGTCTTTATCTACTAGACTTTTCTCTAAGCACATGGATACACGAGCAAGTTACAGGGAGAGAAATTATGTAGACTTCTAATGCTTCACATGCCTTGCCATAACTTCCCTTGCATGCAGTCTGTTCTCTCTGTCCCAGGGCAGGCTCCTGCTATCTTGTGTGGGCACAAGAGGCCCATGCGCTGTCACCTCACAGCAGCTGATACTAGAAACGTGTTTAAGAGTGTGAGCATGGCCAGCTTTGTCTGCATACCTTGGTGAAGGCAGCAGTGAAAAGAGCTTTCAGATCATCCCTCAACCCCTTTCTAGCACTCTGCTTTTTAAAACTGTCCTGCTCTTTTGTACTCAGCTGTGTGTAAGTTTTTCGATGACGGAGCAAGTTCAGAGCCTTTTCCTAGTCTAATTTTGGTCTGTGCTGACCACTAGGGAGCATGGCAGAGCCAGTGTAGCATGGGAAAGCCAGTGCAGCATGCACACGCCTCCCTCCATGGAGAATTGCCTCCCCATGCCTTGGCTGATCCCGCCCTGGTTCTTTCATAAGTTGAAATGGGAGTGCTCAGGGCAGCTGGCATGCCTGGCAGCTTGTGCTCTGAGCCAGGGAGAATTTGCCTTCAGAGCCAGCTGGGGTCAGATCACAGCTGCCTGACTGCCTGGGCCATAGTTCAGTGGTAGCAGGGCTTCAGCAATAATTTCTGATGGACCATCCCCCTGCCCCACAAATCTATCTGCTTGTTCCTGTCCCTGTCCTCCTGCAAAAAGGGTAATTTATAATCCAGGTCATCCCTGTGACCAGTTTAAAGCTCAGCCCCACAAAAGCTCATGCCAGCAGTACCGAGGGAAAAGGGGGAAGCACAGGGAGGCAGGGGCAGAAGTATCTTAAGGGGGGTGAGAGAGGCAGTCCTGAAGCCAGTGTGACAACCCAGGCCCCTAGTATCACTAAGCTATGTTATTGGCAGGACCTGGGAAAAGATTTGAGATTCTGCTCTTTGTTCCTGGCTAACCAAATGCAAGGGGCTTGCATTTAGCTACTGGTCAAGGGGGCTGTATTCCCCTGGTGGCCATGGGGTCATGTCCTTATTTATTAACACTTTTGTTCTCGGCCAGTTCTGCTTGAGGCACCAATGCGACGTGTCATTCACATCAGCGTAGCTGCTGCTCTGCCCAAAGTGTTGTCAGTTCAAAGGGCTGTGTCTAAGCTAATCTGATGGTCAAAGTTTTATAGGTTGCGGAACTTTGGGCTCTGAGATGCTGTAGAGACTTTCAGCCTCTTTTCAAAGGTCCTGATGACTGTATCATGTAGTCAGAATAGCTTGTTTTGAAATGCAGTCTTTCGGTAATTGGTAAACACTACTGTTGTGAGGCTTGTGTGTGTCTCTTAAAGGAAATAAAAATTAAACTCTCCTAAAGTTACCAGCCCCAGCATGTGTAGCAAAAAACTGGCAGTGCTCAGTAAACGAAAGACACATGTTAATTTGGGTAGAGAGCTAATTTAAGAACAGCTCTAGGGAGGAGCCAAAAGCTTCGCAACACGTTCTTCACACACATCTTGTTCCAGCACAGTTGTCCAGTGGTAAAATTCAGCACATCCGACGTTTCTAATGTAGTCATTCTCAGAATGGTCTGTAGAGAGATGGCTGATCACGTGGCATTAGCTGTCTTTTAATACGATTTAGCAGCTGGAAACAAGATGAGCTAAAAATACACTGTTTTCTTAATATTGCTTTTCCATGTTGGGAATTGCTTTTTTTGCCACAGAGTTGTTGCATGATCACAACGGGGAGGAGACGTGTCCAAGAAACAATTCTCTAGTGTTACACAGATAGTAGATGAAGTTGGAGTGATTTCCCCCCTTTTTTTCTCAGCACAAGTACTGAAATGAGACATAAAAGATTACAGCTGATTCTCCATTGTCTGAGGTGATGGGGACAGGAGAGGTATCTCATGTATATGGGTATCTGGATGGAGGTACATAAACACACCAGTGGCTCTCTGCTGAGCTAGCCCAGTTCTGGAAGGGCCAGTGGGCTAGAACCCCTGCGCTCTGCCGGTCCCGAGCAAGGCCCTCCAGAGCTAGAGATGACTCTGCAATCCGGGCCTTGGCTCAGGGATGAGATGCTGAAGGACAAGAAGCCATCTTGAGAGTCTTTGCATTGCTGTGCCATGCAGTCTGCAGCCTGCTCAGAGGAGCTAGATGCATCAGCGGTCCTTTTAACCTCTGCCGTTCTTAGAGAGGGGCAGTTTGAAAGACTGCCAGAACACTGCAGCAAACTGCAATTACTTACCCTCCTGCTTAATGCCATCGTTAGAGCTGTCATACTGTTAGTTTGAGGCAGAGTTTGTCTGCTGAGATCAAGGAGGTAAGTAGGGTGTGCTGCAACTTACAGCTTCATAAACAAGGGAAACTCCACAGTGCGTTGTACTAGTGTTTCCAGTAAAGTCTGACTGATTTTAGTAGGTTGTATAGCCTACACTTTCTCTTCTTCTAAGAAGATGACAAACATCAGCCTCGCTACTAGTGAGTGATTTTTAATTTTTTTTTTTTTTAATATCAGCATGAAGGAAGTGCTAAAATTCTGTGAACTGTCTGTAGGAAGTGCAGAGGTCGGGGTGAGGTCTGTCCCTCCATGGACAGAGCTGACAGGCAGCAGAGGGGGATACAGCTGCTGCCAGAAGTTACCATAGGCAACTCTGAGTGTCTGTATGTGTATGTGAAGTTTTTAACTTGCTGCTGTTATATTACTTTATCATGGGTTGTTGCTGTGGTTTCTCTCTTTATGGACCTTTCTGTTCTCAACACAGAGGAGAGGTAAAGGTGGGAACTCAGACATGGAGCCCATAGACAAGTGGCTAATTACACAAGGAATGGTGAGGACTTCACCAGTGAAGCGATTCCTACTGCCCACCCCGGTTCCTTTACCTAGAATAACCATCCTCCATTCACCTCTCGTCCTGCCCTACTGAACCACTTGAAATCAGACAGTACAAGGAGTTTATTTCCCACCTACGTCATTACCTGGGGCAAAGGGAGAGATTTGCACCAATTTCTGCTTTATACAGCACAAAGGCCTGTAACCAACTGAATCATTTGTAGGACCTGACATGACCTTCGGAAGAGGCCTGGGGATCCAATTAGTTCCTTATACTGTCTTGATTTATTTATGCAGTATCCACTTTTCGAGGGATAAACACAAGTCTCATGGATTTTGCTCATGAAGAGGACACTTTCTACATGTCTTTAAAGCAGCCTCTTCTGGTAGTGCTTAACTTCTTGGTCTGGAATAAACATACAGAGCTTGTAGGATCATACCTAATTGAACTGAGTAACGTAGGGATAGTTCTGTATGAAAGGAAGGGAATGGGAGAACTGCTGCCCAGATTGACATCTTCCACCCCAGTCAGGGAATTACACTGGCATTAGGATTCAGAGTCCAAAAGGTACAGTAGTGTTTCTGGCTTTAAGGATTTAATTCCTGTGTCTAGTGATGCCAGTGCTCTGATAAAATCAAGCTTCTGAAGATCACTTGAATCTTTGCACATTTTGACCTTGTTTGAAGTTGTCCTTCATCAACATGCTTGCAGAGAGAAGTTCAAAAGCCTGCTTTAAGTGCAGAAGTCAGAGGTAGGTAAAAAATAGCCTCAGCTATGCCTTAAAGCCAAGTTCTAAAACCAATTTTGTATTTTTGGATGATGTAATCTATCACTGTAAGTGTTGGAGATTAGTACCAATAATGTGACCTAACTGTACAAACTCCTCCTGAGACGGTCCTGACGGCAGCTGAGTTCAGAAAGGTGCAGTGCAGAATTCCCTTTGGGCTGGGGTGCGCTTGCAGCGCAGCGTTTGGGGCTGAAGTTTGCATGGCTGGTGCATGTACAGTGATTGGAGACATGCATATATACAGTCATATCTGCCTGCCAGCGCAAGCACCCAAGAAGCAGTTCTGTGCCTGCTGGCACACGTGGCTAAGCCCAGCTGTAGGTGCCTATCCTTGGGAGCGAGTTTCATTTCACTGCTTGTCGGAGACCCACAGCTCATAGTGTGAGAGTGAAAAGCCATAAAGTGAGCGCCGCTTGCTTTGCCTCTGATACTGTTGACTGCGGTTCACAGAGGCTCTTGCTGTTCGGCGGCTCTGTTACAGCCAGAGATGTGCTATGCCACTGTTAGATGTTCATCCATAATGAATAATCCAGTGATTGAGTTAGTTCCTCTTCTTTGCCTTTCCACTGTTTACAAGAGCAGGGAAGCATGAAATCGGCACCCCTGCTGTTCACACCGCTCACACCACTGCTTTATTAAAAAAACAAACACAATATTCGTTCATTGGCTTGTGGTTATTCAGTCTGGAAAAAGGATACTGCAGCATTCATGGAGGCATACGGATTTGGGGAGGGAAGGGGATCTGGCTTCTCAGCCAGTCGCTGCTCTTACAAGCCCGTCACCTTGTTTGTATGCTAAATATGAGAGAGAAATACCTAAAATAAAACTAAACTAATCATTAACTCCGTTTCTCTCTTAACTGGCTGTAGTTCTTAACCGTATTTATTAATACAACTGTGTAGCATTTGCAATACCAGTGGAATAACTAGCATCCCAGGTGTGAACTTGATGTGCACATTCTTTGGTAACTTTTTGTACTTTTGAGATGA